TCCAAAACACCTAAACAAAGCTAGGACACATGTAAAAGAAGGCTTCTACCAAACGAACTTCGAACAACGGCATTGCCGCAATTCGTGAGCTTCGTCCTTACGCACTTGTGTCCCTTACGTACATTGCGGACTCGTTTTTACGCTCAGCGAAGAAAGAAGTACTACGTTCCCATAGATGGGTTTTACGCTCCGCCCACCCCATATGGTCTAGCTTTTTTTGGTCCGAATCGTCGATTCCACTATATCTGTGTGTACCCCTAAGAGAGATAGAGAGTCTATGAATCTATTACGCGATTATCCATTTATAAACGAACGCCGTGTATATCAACAGGAAGACTAGCTATATTCGTTCAATTCCTAAAGACAGCGCAATGGCTTATTTAATTAAAAATCAAAGCTATCGTTGCTGTTATGTTCCATGTTTTATAGATTACCTCTTATTGAGTGTTCGCTTATAAAATATATTCATTCAATTTTTCGGCGCAAAAATATACGTTGCTAGATGATCGACACTTATCATAGTTCAGTAGTTGGATGAACGATACGCTAAAATTAGAATTTTTGAAATTTTGAATTATTTTAGAGATTTAAATTTGAGCCTGAAACCTTTATATCACATCGAATGTACCACATTGATTGACTGATTGATAGGGTTCTATTATTTAATTTCTACTCGTATTAGAAACGAAGGGTACGCAGTGGAAATTGTGCGTTGAAATAGCAAATAAAACTACTTTCCCGTTCCTGTTATATATGTATATAGAATGCGAGCATTTCCGATAGCAGCTACCTAGCTAGCGAGACAAATATGTTGAATAACTTACTCTGATCCTGAAAGAAGGCTCCGTCTCGAGGTTAAGCGCAAAAGTATATTACCTGCTGGGTACCTGCCGTCGCTTAATTTCTCAGCCCGCTTTCAGGAAAAGCTCGCCTTGAAGACACCTAATCAATATCTATATTTGTCTGTTTATTTGTTTGTAATAGTAAACAGTGACGTTGCTAGAGGAAACAGCGTTTCGTCTTCAGGCTCCGAAAGACTCCATTATTTCGCGCGGTAATAGCCATCTAAAAGAAGCGACGTCGGCGAAGTTCGAGAAGATCAGGCCTTTTGTCCTGTACCGTACATACGGTGCCAATATGGTAAGCTACGATATTCTTGCTTCACTGTTTGCCTTGTATATAGCACCGGCGACGGCGACTGACATAAACAACTTCTAGCTGTCTCGCCAACATTAACACAGGTCTCCTCCTTATTTTATCCGAGCGAAAAGATCGAACGTTTATACGCCGACCGACTCCTACGTGGCTCTCTGAAAATGGCGTCTTTTCTAGCGCTGTATTTCACTTGTTGTGACCGGACTTGATATGACTGTTTGTAAAAGAGTCTGGAGGTAAAAATATAGATAGAGTTATATGAATACATTGGTTCCTCTCTGGGCCAAGCACGGCCATCGCTTAACAAGCCTTGACCGTCGCCAGTATTGGAGCACGTACCCTGGGCCGCTTCTGGTATCTAAAAAAACACTTTTATTGACTATGCTGACCGTTAGGTCTACCTACGCAATTTAAATTTATGCCTGAACATGACCATGAATATTTCTGTGTATAAAGCCAAATCTCGTGAAAAAGTTTTGGGATATCCCTGAACTCGTCTGGGCAAAAGCAAAGGAAAGAGTGTCTTTCACCTGCAAAGCCGGACCTTCTCAGTAGTGCACACACACTTGTGATAAAAGCTAGCAAAGGCGACCGTGAACGAAAAGAACATTTGAATCTTTCTTCATTTTAAATAGGGGACATGATAATATTTACATTAGTCAAACGTGACCCTTCGACGAGCTCACGTCAAGAACTTAACCAAATTTGAAGGAGCCTGGGGTCAGTGCACTCTTTTCTATTCTACTCATAGAGATTCTTTTCTACCACTCAGATTTGAATTCACATCAATGGCATTAGAGTATAATGGCTAGTCTAGCTAAAATAGATTAGAAAAATAACTACGACTTCATCTTTACTTTACATCTCACTAAGACAAGAGAGCTTTGTGGAAACATTGAGAGCAAATTTCATATCAAGGTAAACGATTCGGCACAGAAAGTTAACCAAATAAGTCTGCCAAAGCAGATACTAACCACGAAGCATCGTCTCGTGAAAGAAACACAAACACATACGAGAATAGCTCCGTTCTTCTTGGAAACAATCTCCATGATTAAGCAGAAAATTTCGTTAGTTCGTATAGAGGTGTCGCAGATTCGGGAAAAGCTTTTATGATGGGAAATCACGCGCGTAGATACATGACGATGTTCTAACGACTGTCTAGCATATTTTGAAAAAAATATACAGCACTTTTGATATTAGAATAGATCATACATTCACTTAACGTAAGCCATACAGCCAGTAGACTCTATTCGATGCCACTATGGGCATCCATTAGTGGAACCGAGTCTATCATGACAAATAATAAATCCCTATGAACCTATACTTAGTGTGCTTGACGAGCGCTGAATGTCTGCCCCTACATTACTTAGAAAAACACTGTATGGTAGAAGTTAGGTTTTTTAAATTGGATTCCAATAAATAATTCTAACTTCTATTTAGCTTATACTGCAGCTGAAGCAAACAAGCGAAAAGAACTGGACGTTCTAAGTCGCGTACTCGATATAGACCCACGTACCTTTACTCACTGCTCGTATCTATGAGTCAGAAGCTGAATTAAGCTGAGGCCATAAGCCTTAAGCCGCCGCCGCCGCCGCCGCCGCCGCCGCCACTACACGTAAAGGAGAATGGACTTTGTACGAAAACCATCATTGCTTTAATAATAAAGGCAAGTGCCTTCCACGTTGAGCTATTATCTAAAAGGCGCTTCGAGCCAAAACGTTTCAGAATAGCTTTCATCGCACCATTTAAAAACACCTTGGCCTACGAAATTAAAAAGCACCTTGTTTCGATAACCGTTAAATGCATAGTTATCAAGGAGCTAAGGGAAAAATGAGCCTAGTAAATTTCTGCAGATTTATAGTTACGAAAACTTAAAAAAGATCTGAACTGCGAATACTTGCGCTCACCGCACCGCCAAACGCGTTCCGGCACTGTCATCACGGCAAAAAGGACACAGATACGTATATGATCCCGTGCATTCAACAAAGCCTTGGAAATACGCCGCCATCTGTGAAGGGTACTGATGGTTTCTATAAAATTCGGCAAGATGACAGCTATGATGTCTCGGAAACGCTAAATTACAAGAATGTGAGCTCACTACGGAACAGGTCAGAAAAGGATAAGATACGGACACGTACACGACCTTGTGCGTCCGACAAACGCGTTACCATGTGGAAAAGGCGTGAAGGATTTTAATACGAGGATTAATAAGAGGATTGTTACTGTCACATCACTAAATATACGAACATACTAATTGATATCTTCAAACGCGTTTGTCAACTCAGTGAAGTGTGTCTGGTAAGGTCCTATAGCAAGTCCTGTACTGTATTATATTTCGTCTCAAGTTCAATAGCTAAACGCATCATGTGTCGCTTTATTGTCAGTCATTATCAACCTGAATATTTCGGTCTCTCAGCTCAAAGATATAGTTAACATATTGTTAAAAAAAAAATCTAAAAAAATACCGAAATCAGGACGTTGCGCATACGCGATATGCAATACACGAATGATGTTTTTCTTTTCTAATCATTCAAACGAATATATAGCTGGAAATTGATACTGTACGGAGAATTATTTCCAATCTAGCTGTATAGTGATGGTCGATCTTCGAAAAAGCGTACTAAAGCTGCAATACCATAGTGGCTTCGAAACAGAGAAAGTATAACAAGAAATAGGCACTATTCACAAAAAACGTCAGTCTAGTGATTATGCGCAACGTTACGCGCCAGGCCCAATTACGCTTCACAGTGTAAATCAGCTTTACCTGACATAATTTTCCTGTTTGCAACACAGCCTGGAACTAGGAAAACTATATCGATGACATACCAGCTGCGCAATTAGAATTCAATAATACAAAACCATATATGCCTCAGTGAAACATACATTCCTATGAATTATTAACTGTGTCCAGCTTTCGACAATGTCCATCCTGCCAATATGAACGATAGGAAAGAAGCTTTACGATCGTCGATACAAAATGTTAGTAGATGGAAAGATGTTTACTGTTCGAATTCTAGGAAACAAGGCGGAAAAATGCAGACGAAAATATTACAAAAATTAATTTCTGTCTTTTACTTTATTACATAAGAAGAAACCTGTGAGGCAACAAATAACTGCAAACAGTTTGCGATGCATTAAGTATCCAACCGTTGAAAATAATAAGCTGAGAAAATAATAAGTTGAGATAAGCTGTATGTATTCTGCGTCCTTGAAAGGTATATTTGCGTTCTAATTTTTGGATACGGAATAAGCTCGAAGTTTTACATTCGAGATAATCCTAAATGGGGCTGGGTGTCCTGATCACGGTGAAGTAGAATACAAACGGAAATAACACTAAATCATAGACCGTTTTGGTCTTCAACGTTCAATTGCGCCGCTTTGAACTCAGTGAAAGCGATATTTTTGTTCATGTTAGGTTGGTTTCGCTGGTAGAGATGAAACGTACCTGTACGAATGCTGCCACGATCAGTGGAAATTAATTCTAGTCTCATTGATTGTTTAATACGTATTGCATCAACGGGTTGTACGAAGGTTCAGATACTGAGATATTTCTATAGCGAGTTAGAAAAAAGATTGTCACTTGCCTCATATAGTCCCATTATCTCATTTTGGTGGTTTTTCGCTAGATCTATTAACATCGTTTGCCAAATTTATTGTAAACAAATATTTAGCACCTCCTGATATATGTATATATATATAAATATCAAATCATAGTCAGGTCAAGGCAGACGAAATACCAGCCCTGTGGTAAATTGTAAATAAATAGCCCAGGACAACAATGTTATTATTTCACTTGAAAGCTGCGACTGTTCGATAGGAAAACATTTGTTAGCGATCCTCGGTGCTCTAGACTGTTCAGTGTTCAAGCGTTCAACTGTGCTAAAATCTGGGGCATGCCCATATGAGTAAATGCCCCCGTCCGTGTCTCGCCGCACGATACACCCAGCTCTTGCAAAAAATTTTCCGCTCCTCCGTTATAAAATAACGCTCCTAAATTGATAGCATCTGTCACATCTAGCTAGCGGGTCAGTCGCTGGGTTTTGTTGTGCCTTTTACTGTGCTTTTTTGTGTTTTGGTTCCACATTCAAGTCTCCCGTAACCATATGTGGAGACGGTATCATTCGTTACATGGCTAAAACACTGTTGGTATGTGTGGAGTTTTTGTTAGCGCATTATATAGCGTGTCGTCGATACTATTCTATCTAAACAGCCATTTTTCATACTGTATCTGTTAATAGTAGAGCAGCTGCATCAAAAGATCGTTATTGCGTTCATACTTCCTGTTCAACGTAAACCCGTTCCTACCTAGTTCACACTTGAAAAGGGGGTTCTTTTTATTAAAAATCACACATAATTTGATATTATCTACGTTTAGCCGAAGCTAATAAAAGGATACTCAATCCTTGTTTAAGATATTTCCATTTGCCAATCTTGTAGCTGCAATCTTGTAGCAATCGTGAACCCTACAGGATTACAGTCGCAGTTCCTATGGCGGCAAACAGAAATTACCGATTCTAGATGCGAGTAACTTTACAATTACAACATATGCGTAACGCAAAGTAAATGTGACGGAAGTTACTTATTAAATATATAATAAGAGAAAAAGAACTTGTCCCTAGCTTAAATTAATTGCTGACTAATGTTTACGGGCGCACTACTGTGTCGTCGGCTTGTAACGCTTGGAGATACGTTTCGGTACTCAGTAGCCGTAAGAATATACGATTCAATTTCGATAAAAAGTGATTTTGAGAGACACCACTTATTATTTAGCAGTGTTACTCGCACTTTCAAATTGTTCAGAAAATCAGTCTAGCCTTCTATCTCTCACCCAGCCACCTCAGAAAATCGCTTTACTAATGGCGTCTTAACGCATTGCCACACTCTGATTTTGGATAAAAGGCGCGGAAGCCACGGCCTCGATACGCCTATGATGTCATAATGACAAAAGAACGCTTATTTGAGGATTAAGTGTAAGTTGTATGTAAGACAAAAGTAATTGTCCTGATTCAAAAAGCTATACTTCTATCATTCGTCAATGTTGTAAAGTATTATGGTAGATACGTAGTACTCGAGGCAAAACAGGAAACACACAAGGTTATTATGTTAATTTTTAGTAATGCATGTATATTTCCGCGATGGGCCCTACCGGAGCAATATTCATTTGAAGTAAATGTTTCGAGTTTTACGTCCGGCATCGCGGTTAGACAGCCGTTCTAGCAGATGGCTGGTTATCAACACGAAACGAACCGTGTGTCTGTGCCCCCATTTTAACCTAGACCATTACGTATCCCTAAGAGAAGCAACCAAATACGTTAGCCACTTGCCTATAATGCTGGTATTCGAGTACCTATCTAACGTAAGCCAATGATGTGTAACACGGCCCCGGACTTCGTTTCTTTTACATTTCCTCTTTTTTAGGCCAGTCCAACAGCCCGGCTCTTCAATTAATATTACTATTAACAGTATTTTCCGAACAGTCTATATATATATATATATAACATATAATTGTAAATTAAGACAAGAGAGAGACCCATTTCAAGAATTAATTCACAATACCTGGCAAAAGCAACCATAATTATGATTTTTCGTTCGCTTTGACGAATCCTTATTACTATACAGAATGTATAATTTAAGAAAATTTGCATAATATGACCACTGAAGGATGATTTTCCTCGTTTTTAAAATGTTTGGCCGTAAGAAGTCCGTGTCATCGGTCACCGTATCTTTCTCACGTATTTCGAATTCCCTGTTATTAGCCCTACTTGGTCAATGTATATGCATGAAGATTTATGCGGAGATTCGCTTGTAGTCCACGACACCATAGAACTAGAGCTCAATATTCTAGTTTTTGTGGCTTAAACCTCTTCACTCGGCAATGTGTAGTGCGTGTGGCCTTTACAAGACTTTCATACGCTCCTTGGAAGTGGGCCTAAGCCACGAGCGGCCCTTTGTGCCCCGCGAAGTTTGCTTTCGTTAGCGATACGCAAGAAACCTAACAAATTCGGATTGTGCTTTTGTTGTTAAATTTATAACGTGTAGATAGTAATTCTATAACGGTGAAGATTACCTCGCCCAATACATAGATTCGTTTCATTCGTTATCGTATACTTTAGCTTCTAAGATAATGAGAAAGCTTTTGTTCTTGTTAGTCCTGATCCGGCTGTGTGAATTTGTAAACAAGCACCCGTACAATCACTACTAGCATGCATGGTAAATTCGACATATGCGGGACCATTCTAGCAAGATTTATGAAGGAGACTAGTTCATCCTCTGGCTATGACGGTACCGGGGTTTGTGGAGCAGCTCAATGTGTTATGTACAAACTGTCGATCGTCTAACGGTCGTTATTATCTGGGCCACGTCTACAATGGCAGCTTGACGCTATGGTCAGTTATTTGCTATTACTACAGTGCGCTGCGCCCACGGTTGCATCGATTTTCGGAGAAAGCGTGAATTCTTGCCGTGATAGGATCGATTCAAATAATCATCGTGCCGTTAGTCTAGGGATTGTTGTCTTCGATAAGTTTCCGTACACAAACTTCAAGTCTCATATGACCACGCATCTGTGCGAGTCATGAAGGCATGCTGGTAACGGGCCTGATCAGAACTGGCCGTGAAATTCCGATCAAATCATACGGTAACAAACATTTGTTGCTGTATTGTCAAGATGTCATCGATTTTGTCTTTTTGCTCTTGTTACGAGCCCATTGACCGGTACGATATCGTATACTCACCGATTCCGTACGTGTATAAATATTCTATTCGATCATTTGTTCTTTGGTTGAGCTTACGCTGGCGAAATTTCTGTTTGGAAACCAACATATTCTAGTCAGACTCATCTGAGCCAACTAGCAATGTCAGTGATTTAAACTCTCCAATTGAATAGGTTTATCGGACTAGAGAAAGCTTCTGTTGGACACTTCTATGATAGAAACGGTTATTCTCGCAATTAAGGTTCATCAGACAACACCGATTTGATGCTTGCGTAAATAACTGGGTTAGCGTTTTCATGGGAGTGTGGGAATCACTGTTAGCTATGCTTTTCGTAAACATGGTGGTGTAACCCAGCAAGCGATAGTATGAAAAAGGGCTTATTGTTCGTGTGCGTATGTGTCATGTGTAAATTCAAGATGTCAGTTTTTGGATTACCTCTTCATACTAGTAATACAATAGCAGTACTAATCGTGGTAATAATATACTGAGGCCATCTTGGATTTCCGCATTAGACATGCGAGACAGAAGATTCGTCTCGGTCAGACTGCGATCATTCCTACAATCGTTGCTCCTATATGCTAGCACAATTGAAACTAACAGGGAAAAAAGAAATGACTCGTTCTTCATTACTTTTTGTTAGCCTATCGTAAATATTATCGGCCGAAATTCGCGGCCTGCAGGAGGCCAGTACCTGGCTTGTATGTATGTATGTATGTCGATAACAACATCAACGACATTATGACAACAACGTGAATCGCGGGTTGATTTATGTTGATGGCTGGTAACGCGTTCTGTAACATCTCTGGTAAATATCGATACTATCTTTTGAATAGCAGCCAAGGATCGGGAGTACAATTCAGGTTATACGTAATAAATCGATACTGGGAACAACGCAAATACGAGAAATATAAGGTGTCGTAACGGCAAAATGACAGTCGGAATAGGTAGAGCGCGCTGAGGACGACGTATTTGTTAGGCATCGCCAACCTGTTCTCATTAAGGTTCTCAGATATAGACAAGCCACGTTTAGGAAGAGCCATCGAAAAAGTTTGCTTTACCCGACATAAAGATGTTAACGTTTCGTTGACGATGAAGCTCCTTGGGGTATTTAGGAAGGAGTTTTCAGGCTTCGAAAATATGTAAGGTTATTCCTTCTAGATTGTTGAGATTTTCATTTTAGGACTAATTCAGCTATGACTGAATTTTTATTTTCGAAATATGAAAACTGCCATTGAAATGTAGTGTAAACTCTACGAAGCCGTCCTTATAACTATTACTTTGTAATTTAATTAGAATGTTCATTAGTGCGTCTTACTCGATAGCCTTAAATTATTAATGGACCCATTTTACAACATACAGTAGCAAACACTTTATCGTTTAAAACAAATCGCTGGAAGGCGCCAACTATTATAAACTAAATGATATGTCGAGCCACACTTATAGCCACATCAGTCGCTAACAAAACGCAAGAGAACATTACCTGAACTAATTAAGTCGGTATTAAGTTTCAGTAACCAAAATACGACTATTTCAGCACCGCTTTAAGGACGCATTGGCGTAGCGGTCCTGATAGGTAAGCTAGGCCTACCTAACGAAGTTGCAGCGCGCTCCACACAATCACGTTCTAGACTGTGTGTCGACACCAAATACACGTGAGTCTCTACGATTGTTCCCTATTATTTTTTTTCGTTTCGTTCGCTTCGCGGATACTTACGCTCGTCGCCTGATCCCCCAGATACAATGATCGCAAAAGAGGGTAACATCCGTTCACTAGAATAGCGAGTGACGCTAGAATGATTATGTATTCTAAAAGCTGTTATATCGCTGACTTCTGAATTTATATATCGTGATTACGACGTGTGAATTATATCGTGAACGATATCGGATAATATCACTACAACAAAAGCAAATCATCTCCTGGGACGTTTGAGGACAGTTTGGCCTATGAATCTCAATACCATGGACGTAATAAAAATTGGACCTTTATGTAGGCATCGCTGCATGCTCGCCGGAAAACGTCGAAAAGATCAAAAGTCCCTTAAAGATGATTCCGAGTTACTACTTAGACCAGTATGTTCTTTGCTCCGACTACTTGATTAATTCTTTTCCCCAATCAAGAGTACGCATGTGATGGTATACATCGAAATGTTCATGAAAGAAACTTCAACACCCTGTTCTACAGTAAGTGATTACGAGTATTAACAACTTGTGTATTAAACAACGCGTTTAATATACAAATTACGTGTTCTTATTCCGTAAAAATGATAAGCACTCCACTTTGTGTAAGAGCCTTGATATTTCCCGATGCGTTATTTATCTGTTCAAATAAACCGTCCTCTAGCGTCAACTTTCTAACTTATAGCAGTCGAAACACTACACTGACGAGAAAGCTAGACTTATCATGCCGTTGAACTGAACCAGCAACGAACTGTCGGGTACCAGCATTTTTCCTCAACGAAAATAAGAAGCCAGAAAGGAAGAGTACCCTAAAAACCTATGGGCAGAATTGCCGGGATAATTAGCTCGAGTCACCGATGGCGCTGTCGTCTTTTGGGCTGTTTTCGTTAACAACAATGCTAACAATCTTGCCGCGCTGGCTATCGTCAGTACTTGTAGATATGGTAAGTACCATTTCCTGGCACGCGATCTTCGCCGATGTAGTGATCGTATCGAGTGTACCCATTAGTGGACAGATATTAAAAACATACATATACCTATGCAACACTTAACGTAACAGTAATTTCTGATACTTTATCTGATCTGTCTGTTGAATTCAGACAACTAAATGTAAACAATTGTCCGTACGATTTCAGTGCCAAGTCCTAGGCATGTATATCGTAGTCATTATATCTGCTGTCACTTTAGAGATATTATGAAATCAATATTTGACGCTCCATAGTGCTAACCACATATATATATATATATATATATATATATATATATATATATATATATATATAGCTCTGAATGATTTCAGCACGAGGTAAAAAAATAACAACTACCAACAAAAAGTGTCCCATCTATAATACAAAGTCTTGCGTGCACAACCGATTGCATTGACATTATCACAGAAAATGCCGTCGACGCTAGCTTAGAAAACGTGGCCCCATTCGTTGAGTCTACCGCATTGACGTCTTCACCCTTCTTCCGCTATTTAGCGCTTTCTATATTATTATAGAACACGGCTGACCGGTGACGGCACTAACAGTATCGAGTAATGTATTAGCAGTCCAATTCAATCAGTATGGGACTTTGAACGTTTTAGCACTTCAAAATTGCCTCGTTAATTAGACAGAAACCCCTGGCATAGGTCGACATGGGTCGACAGAGCTGAAGCCGCTGGTGTCTAAAGCGTCTACCGCACCAGCAACAATGCCATGTTCTTTCCCTTACTTTACAAGCTGATGCACCGTTCCCTCACGTTTTACTTCCTCTGTGTTGCATCTTCCTTTTAACGACTTACTTTTCAACACAACTATATAACAATATGAAAAGAAAACGCGATTTTAATAATAATAATAATAACAATAACGCGTGATGAAATCTCCTAAATACACGCTGGCGAAACAAAGGGAAAAAAATCAGCCCGATAATAGCGGAACGTAAATTAACAGTTAGTTCTTGTTCGTTGGAGCGGACTGTCACCGATAGCGCACTGTTATACAAAGCGGCTCAAAGACAGCATGAGCGTCCAACGTCTCCGCTCCATTTCAAACAACGGTCGTTGCTGCCGCTGAACGAAGCTGAGCGTTTTCTGTTTGAGTTGTTCTGAAGACTCCCCGTTGCTTCACCGGATGCTCGAAGAGGGCGTTGCGTGCGTTACAATTATACCGCTTTTTCGGCACTGGCCAACGCGCCAAGACGCACGCGCTAAACCTTCAGGGGCAATCCAATCTATTTTCTGCTTTGCGGATTTTTTTCTTTTCTCCGGAGCTAAATGTATGTTCACTACTCAGCTATGTTGCTACTCCCACATATTTATACACGAACTCTCTCGTATAATGGTTCGGTAGTCATCATCATCATACACATCACTGCCATAGAAATGTTTTAGTGTTAGTTAATTGTAGTATAGAGTGAATGGTAGGCGTCATCAAGGTTGTTTACGCCTTTCCGGCTTTTTTTTTTTAGTTATATTTGTTTGCATATCAAAATGATTCCCCAGACATAATAAATAACGTCGTAATTATAGTAGAACGCTATTGGAAATACACGCTTTGAGTGCTATTATCATCAAATGAGATAAAAGCTGCTGAGCATCAGTAAACAGGTGAGGATTCACTCTTAATCGGCGACGCAATTGAGTCGGCGAGGTTTTCTACGCCCTACTTTCGACCAGTATAGGAAAAGCATCGAGCACATTTGATCCAACGGCCTAATACCCGTTTTTAGTCCTAGAATATGGACTGTCTGATAGAAAGGCTGACGACGGTACATTTAGAAAAGCTCCACAATAAGGATTTAATAGGTTTAAAGGAGACATAAAACCAGATAAAGCAATTAGAAACAGGGTCTAATGTTTATGCTTGAAATGATAAATGCCCCATTTTCTATAATTAGCCACTGTCCTTAGAAATATTAAACAAGCTTTTGTTATCTATGACAACGTTCTTATACAACTTATTTCTGTCGATCGATTATTACGAAATCGATCTTGGAAAGCTGATGACGTCTAGCCACGTAACGGGCGCTTATCTCCAGAGAAAATACGATATTTTTTAAAGATTACATTGTAAGTCTTGGTTTCTCTAGTTCGGCAATTGCAAACAATCTATATCTATATCATGTAGGATAGTTAGTTAACGGGACGATTGGTATGTTACTGCTATCTTTAAGATGAACCCGCCATGATTCAACTGGACGATAGCTCTAACTTAGATCGTCACTTTTCTATCCGTCGTCAGGTCCTCGTTGCCAAGCGTCGGTTAATTAAGTAATTACCCTAAGTAAATTAACCATTATTTTCCATGCAGTGAAACAAAATCGAAAATATATTTATACAGGAGGATTCATGATGTCAAAAACAAAGCGGTTACAATGTTTGAGGGTCCGGTTAGAAGGCAGCGTGTAGGATGCCTTTGCTTTTACATAAGTAAAATGAAACATTATTGCATGTCTATTTTCTTTTGCTTTGTTCGTATTTCTTTGGCTGTATTCGGATTGGTTATATAGGCGTATAGGTCATAGGGTTTAATGCAGTAGTATGTCTATCAAAGTTGCGTAGTACGAAATTATAAAAGCTCGATCACTTGTCTACTAGGCACTGAGAGAACACATAGGACTCGTTTCGTTTACTCAATATCCGTGTTATTTATTAACAATCCGCTGTTCAGCGGCAGCGACTGTACCCGCTGTAGTTTGGCCTCTTTAACGGTTCATAACGACAACCAATTCGGTTTCGTTACGCCATTGCCTCTACATATTTGCACTAAATCGTAGGCCTGTAACTTCGTCGATCGTTAGCGGATTCTCAACAATAATGTCCGTCTGCCCTGCCCCTCCATGTTTCCACTCCAATGAGCTGGGGGCGAAGGATCAAGCGTTCTGAATGAGAGAAAGCTGGCTTACTTGTGCTCGTGAAGAAGTTACAACAACGTATCATGGTTCAGCAGACAGTTAAACTTGCTGCGCGACATATAACGCACTGTTAACAGCCGAGATACCTCGTTTTTTCGTTTACTGAATGAAACAAGAGCCAACACGAACTAGTAGAATTGTTGAGATAGCAATTAGCATTGGAAAAATGTGCGGTATCATCTGACGCGTCTCAAAACGCGACTCCTCGTTACCCGTATCTGTTACTATCGGGTGCCTCTCGACATCCGTCATATAGGTTAGGTTTATTGTAGTAGAAACAACAAGAAACGAAGCTTACAAACGAGCGTCAATTGCCGGACAAAGCGGCTAGCCAAGAACAACGAGATGTTTTACCTGCATCATGGCATGAATTACGCTTGCCAAGCGAAGTAAGTCAACTTAATAGCGTAGTAGTAAGCTTGGTAAAAAAAAAAAAAAGTTTTATTGCTTGTTTCTAATTTTACTTGATTGCTATCTTGTTTGATATAAAAAAGCTGAAGCCAATCTTTTTCATAATACAGAGATTTTTTTTTAACAAAGAGCATTGTTTTTGATAGACCTTACGCTATATATGAACCGGCAAAGATTCTCCATTGGTGCTCACCAAAAATTAAGATTTTGGCCCAAGACCAAAAATCCATATATTCGTTTCTTAAAAAAGTCTTAAATATTTACAATGATATTTTACTACTGAGAACAGGTCTATTTTAAGAGAAAACTTACAGACATTTAACAGTATTATTATAAATACAACTTACACTTTTAAAATCTATTTACACGGCCAAGGACGACACAGCCATCTCTTAAATATAACAAGAATAGGTAATTGTTTAATTTTGCAACACAGATGGAAGTATTTAGGCAAACTATCTATAGGTTCAAGTATTGATTTGCGAACGCTTCTGCCTCTAAAAACTTACTGAACGTTTATACTGTAGAACAAAAATAGTTTGAGCCAAATGAATATAGAAACGTGTACGGTGGCGACGTGAAGAATGTCCCGACATTTATGATGTTCAAATTACTTAACTTTATTTCCAAACTATAGAAAAGTTATGTGCAAGCTTGCAGCACTTAATGTATAACTTATCTTTATTATGACACAAGAGCCACTATTGATTCGGAATGTGAAATGCTTTACAAAATAGCTAGCCATCACTTCCTTCGAGAGGCAAACCATGCGAGAGGCCACGATAGCTTATATCGATCAAGGCCGAATGCTGCAAGCAAAGCAGAATTAACAAAGAAAAAAATTGCTGCAATAATGGTACACACATTCAACGTTGACTAGAAAACATGCCCTTTTCCCATTGACTTTTTTCGTTCTTGGAGCCTATTCAACTTTTAGTCAAACGGTTATAGGCTACTGTCCTCGAAAAGTTTTGCGAAGACAAATCTAAGTTTTACAATTGTCAATTTTTGTGATAATCAAACTGGGTTTACATATTTTTTTAGTTGAACTAGGTTTATATATCTTTAGCTGAGCTAGGTTTATATATTTTTAACTGAACTAAATCCGACCTGCCATGCCATTGACTTCGAGGTATCTCTGCACTCTTGCGTGAATGAAGCCACGTACATTAGCAACAAAACGGAATTCGAATTCAT